TCGGAAGGCAGAGGCAGGCGGATCTCTGAGAGTTCGAGGCCAGCCTGGTCTCCAGAGTGCCAGGATAGGCTCCAAGGCTACAGAGAAACCCTGTCTCGAGAAACAACAAAAACAAAAATCCGGCAGTAGCTCCACACGAAGCTTTCTGTTCTACCATCCCTGTTCTGTGAGAGGCAGCTGCTATTAGCACAGACAAACAGCAACAGCAGTCTCTGCAGGGTGGTCTTGCAAAAGCCTGTAGCTCTTGTGCGACACACTGGAGAAGACTTCAGCCTCCACTATCCATGTGTAGTTTATTTTGTTCACAGCCAGTCATCCATGGGTCTTTGGGTCTGTTTGTTCAGTGCTGCAGGAGGCCTGTGCACCTGCGTGTGTGTGTGTGTGTGTGTGTGTGTGTGTGTGTGTGTGTGTGTGTGTGTGTCTGTGTGTGTGTCTGTGTGTGTGTCTGTGTGTGTCTGTGTGTGTGTGTGTGTGTATCCATATGTATCTGTAGGATGCTTGCCCAAATGACCCTGCTGGGTGAGATCTGAGATGGTGTTTGTACATATGCATTCTCACTTGTGCTTGGGTCCCATTGCACCTCTGCATCAGCTGCTGTCCTACCAGTGGCTTCAACAGCCGTGCTTCTCTGACAGCCCCTAGGTCTTCCAGACTGCAGCCGCATCTGCCATTCAGCTCTCTGTGCCTCTGCCCCTGCACAGTGGATCATTGCTCTAGAAATGCTGTCACTGGTCCTGCCTCAGGACAGGGTTATGCTCTGCATCAGCCCCCACACCACTATCCCTGTCCCTCCAGGCTGCCCTAGAGGTAGCCCTGTGGCAAGACACCCACTTGGAGATACATCTGTTCCCTCCTGGACCTTCTGTCTAGTCTTCACCCTGGTCTTCCCACCTACTGTCCATCCCATCTTGGGCTTTCAGCACCAGAGCTGACCCTGTTGCTACCCTCTCATGGCTTTTAGCACCCACAGGACAAGCAGCCCAGTCACCCTGGCCTGGCATTTGATGTCTATAATTAGTGCATCAGGCTAGGCTTAAATTCTGCAGCCCCCATCCCTCTGACACCTCCTGCCACAGCCCGTGTCCACTTACCTGGTCTCAGCTCAGCCCTTGGTCCTCTCCTGGATCTTTCCCAGCTTGTTGGCCTCAGGCATAAGATGAAGGTAGCTCAGGGTGTAGACTATCCCTCATTCCTCACCCATCCATGGGTACCCTTCTCTCTTTCCCAGGAAGCTTCCCCTTTTTGGTTTCTAGCCTCAGGCTGGCACTTAACCTGTCTTCGGCTACTTTAATACTGTGTGTGACTCTGTTGACCCATTGTAGCTCCTGGAGTTGAGGAAGCTTCTTACCCTTCAGGGAAATACTCTGACCAAAGCAGGAGCCATTCTTGGGCTTCTAGCTGTTCCCCACTGTCCTGGCTAGTTTATATGTCAACTTGACACAAGCTAGTTATCTAAAAGGAGGAAACTTCAATCGAGAAAACGCCTCCATTAAGATCCAGCTGAGCTGGGCGTTGGTGGCACATGCCTTTAATCCCAGCACTCGGAAGGCAGAGGCAGGCGGATCTCTGTGAGTTCGAGGCCAGCCTGGTCTCCAGAGTGAGTGCCAGGATAGGCTCCAAAGCTACAGAGAAACCCTGTCTCGAGAACAACAACAAAAATCCGGCTGTAGGGCATTTTTCTTTGTCCCCACCCCCCCTTTGAGACAAGGTTTCTCTGTGTAGTTCTGGCTGTTCTGGAACTCGATCTGTAGAACAGGCTGGCCTTGAACTCAGGAGATTGCCTTCCTCTGTTAAATGTGCATGCCACCACCAGCTGGCTGCATTTTCTTAATTAGTTGTTGATGGGGGAGGCCCAGCTGATTGTGGGTGGTACTATCACTGGGCTGGTGGTATTAGGTTCTATAAGAAAGCAGGCTGAACAAGACATGATGAGCACCCTCCATGCCTCTGCATCAGCTCCTGCCTCCAGGTTCCTGTCCTGTCCTGACTTCCCTCAATGATGGACTACATTGTGGAAATGTAAGCCAAATAAATCCTTTCCTTCTCAACTTACTTTTGGCCATGGTGATTCATCACAATAGTAACCCTAACTAAGACACCCACCATGGCTTGCCCCCACCTTCCATTTAGCAAAATGATGGGTTGTTCACAGACCTGCAGCAGGTTTGCATAATCAAAGACCGGTTCTCCATTCTACCCCTGGTGCGCCTGGGTCTACCCCCTGGAATACAGACAGTCACCATTGAGTGACTCACAGTGTAAGGCTCAGAGGTGTAAGACTTCATAGAATCTGATTGAAGTCGGGTGTTCTGGCACAGACTTGTAATTCTAGCACTGGAGTAGAAGCAGGAGGATCAGGTTCAAGGTCACCCTTGATTACATAGGAAGTTCAAGGCCAACTGGGCATCATGAGACCCTGTCTCTCAGACAAACACACAAACACTTGTTGTGAATGTTTCTTTATTAGGAGCAAAAATATTCATTTTTACAGAATTTTCCATGTCTCTCTACAGCTTCCCTCGCCCCAACTGTCCTTTATTGGGGACAAATTTCAGTGCCTAATACAACTGGGTTGCAGTTCCATTCTGTGCCAACAGGTGGTGACAGTCCCATTAGGCGCACACACACACACACACACACACACACACACACACACAGGTGATCTGTGCTGGGCATGTCATGTTGGTCCTTCAGGCAGGTGAGTCCTAAGGAGCCTCTGTCCTAGCAGCTGCTGGTCTCCAGTGTCCTGCAGGTGTTACGCATGTTGCAGATGTTTTCATCTGGAAAACTGTGGTCTGCTGAGGCCTTCCATTGCTGATGCCTAAAGAGGGTGGAGGGCCAGGCAGAGGACAGAGCAGTCTAATCATCCTTCACCAATCTCAAACTTGAGTCTCAGAGCCCATCCCTGGTCAACCCAGGATCACATGCTGTTCTGGCCCTACCTGTGTCTGTGGGCAGCTCTTTACTCTCTCTGAGTTGGTTTCCTTGCGTCCTGCCTTCAGGGTCTGATTCCTCCAGGAAGTGTCCAGCATCCAGGACAGATAAAAAAAAGAAAGGAGTGTCACAGAGAGCCCACCCCACACCTGGACTCTGGCATGGTAGCCATACTCCAGGTAATCAGACTCCAACCTGGAGTGGCCAACAGGTGACCACTGTGGCCCACCTCCCTCCCAGAGCCTGGGGGAACCTCACAGCACCAGAGCTCGGGGCTGGAAACCAGCTGGAAAGGAGCCCACTTAGAGGGGCTGAGAGCTTCAGGAAGGGAAAAGGGGAGGGAGACAGTGAGTGAGGAGGAGAAAGGGAATAAAGAGGAAGAGAAGGAGAGATCAAAGGAAGACAGACAAATGGGTAGGGCAGGGAGACAGGGCTATTGGTGGGTGTTGGTTGTGCAGCAGGGGAACCCGGGTGTGAGTCCTAGCACTCACACAACAGCCTGCCATGTGCCTGGAAACCTGGTTGTGTGTGTGTGTGTGGGGTTAGACAGTGGATTACCAGGACTTGCTGGCTGGCCAGCCTCACCATGTCAGCAAGTTGCAAGTTCAACAAAAGACCTTGTCTCAAAGATAAAGGTGGAGAACCTGGCAGTGATGGTACACAACTTTATTCCCAGCACTTGGGAGGCAGAGGCAGGAGGATCTCTGAGTTCAAGGCCAGTTTGGACTACAGAGTGAATTCCAGGCGACTCAGGCTATACAGAGAAACCTCTTTCAAAAAACCAACAAACCAAAAACAAAAGAAACAAAAAACCCAAAACAACAACAAAAAAACAAAAAACAAAAAAAACCTCACACCAATAAATAAGCAAAATAAAATTAAGGTTGAGAATCACAGAGGAGACACCAGATGTTGATGTCTTAGCTCCACACACAGGTACTCACAGGTGAGTACACCATAAACAGACACACGCACACATACAAACAACAAAAATTAAATAGGTGATACCCAATATTGATTTCTGTCTTACACAAGACACACACACACACTGGAGATGACAGGAAGAGTGCAAGAAAGAGGAGGGAAAACTAGGAGGACCACAGGAGCATGAGTGACTGGGTAGAGCACCATGAGGAATGCCAGACAGAGGCGGGGAGCCAGAAAGGAGAAGGGAGAAGTGATCAGCAGCGTGGAACAGAATAGGTAGGTGAGTAGGAGAGACTGAAAATCAAAGACAAGAAAGGCAGGGAAATGGTCAAGGAAGATAAACAGTAGAGATGCCAAGGGAGAGGGGTAACATAATTTGAATGAGGGAGGAATGACCATCGGGATGGGGTGGTGATGTTACCGTTGGGAGAGAGATGGGTTGTAGAGAAATGGAGGAAGAAAGAGAGTGGTTGTGACAGGGAACAGAACAAAGGCAGATTCCAGGAAGACAGGACAGAAACGGGGTAGAGAGCCCCAGAAAGGAGGGATGGGGTGCCTAGGGAGGGAAGGAGGTGGGAGTAGAGAAAAGAGCAGGAAGACATGGCGGGTAGAGAAGGTGAGGGAGGGGGGCTGGGTGTACTGAACGCTCTTGATCCAGACAGGGCTGTGTGGAGGGACCCAGGAGGACATCAAGCCCTGGGTATACTGCCCCACAACTTCTGAGAACCCAGCACAGGTGACAGGGAAGTCCAGAGGGAATGGGGGGAGGTCGAAGACAGGAGACAAGGAAGAGGCATCAGGGCAAGGCCTGAGGGAGCTATGAAACGGGAAATGTTATGATGGAGAAATGAGCAGGGCGGTGGTGGTGCTCGCCTGGAATCTCAGCACTCAGGAGGCAGAGGCCAGCTTGGCCTACAGAGTGAGTTCCAGGACAGCTGGAGATGTTACACAGAGAAACCCTGTCTCAAAAATACAAAAGAAAAGAGAGAGAGAGAAACTAGAGTGCGTGTAAGGTACAGAGCAGAGGAAGATAATTTTAAAAAGTGTGAAGGTGCCATAGGAAAAGGGGGAGGAAGAGGAGGAAAGAGATGGGAAGAGAAATGAGGCAGGGGATTAGGAGGGGATGGAGCAGGAGTAGACTGAGTTGGAGAGAGGGTAAGGAGGAAGAGAGAAGGGAGACAAAGGGGAAGAGGAGGAGGTTGTGGAAAGGGGGCACAGGAGGAAGGGACTCAGATCAAGAGCGGGCGCGGAGGAGGAGAGGTGAGGACATGAAGGAGGCAGAGGATGCCCACGAAGAACAAGAGTAAGGAGAAAAGCGGAGGAAGAGAGAACAGATGGGGGAGAAGGAGAGAATATGGCAGGAAGAGGGGAGGGAAGAAAAGGAGATGGAAGAGGAAAACAGGAGTTTGTATGGATAAGAGAAAAGTCAATGGAGAAATGGGGGACGGGAAGAAGCGAGTGGTAGAGGTCAGTCCACAAGAAAGCTAATAGGACACAGGAGACATTAGAAACAAGAGCAGGGAGGAAAAGCAGAGGGACAGAAGAAAAGAGGAAAGAGGCACAGAATGAAGAGGGGGATGCAGTGTGAGCAGAGGAGGAAGGAACAAGTAGGAGGAGGACCACACTCCAGCCCCAAGGGAGACAGGAGGAAAGGTAGGAGGGAGGACCACACTCCAGCCCCAAGGGAGACAGAGGAGGAAAGGTGGGAGGGAGGACCCCACTCCAGCCCCAAGGGAGACAGAGGAGGAAAGGTGGGAGGGAGGACCCCACTCCAGCCCCAAGGGAGACAGAGGAGGAAAGGTGGGAGGGAGGACCCCACTCCAGCCCCAAGGGAGACAGAGGAGGAAAGGTGGGAGGGAGGACCCCACTCCAGCCCCAAGGGAGACAGAGGAGGAAAGGTGGGAGGGAGGACCCCACTCCAGCCCCAAGGGAGACAGAGGAGGAAAGGTGGGAGGGAGGACCCCACTCCAGCCCCAAGGGAGACAGAGGAGGAAAGGTGGGAGGGAGGACCCCACTCCAGCCCCAAGGGAGACAGAGGAGGAAAGGTGGGAGGGAGGACCCCACTCCAGCCCCAAGGGAGACAGAGGAGGAAAGGTGGGAGGGAGGACCCCACTCCAGCCCCAAGGGAGACAGAGGAGGAAAGGTGGGAGGGAGGACCCCACTCCAGCCCCAAGGGAGACAGAGGAGGAAAGGTGGGAGGGAGGACCCCACTCCAGCCCCAAGGGAGACAGAGGAGGAAAGGTGGGAGGGAGGACCCCACTCCAGCCCCAAGGGAGACAGAGGAGGAAAGGTGGGAGGGAGGACCCCACTCCAGCCCCAAGGGAGACAGAGGAGGAAAGGTGGGAGGGAGGACCCCACTCCAGCCCCAAGGGAGACAGAGGAGGAAAGGTGGGAGGGAGGACCCCACTCCAGCCCCAAGGGAGACAGAGGAGGAAAGGTGGGAGGGAGGACCCCACTCCAGCCCCAAGGGAGACAGAGGAGGAAAGGTGGGAGGGAGGACCCCACTCCAGCCCCAAGGGAGACAGAGGAGGAAAGGTGGGAGGGAGGACCCCACTCCAGCCCCAAGGGAGACAGAGGAGGAAAGGTGGGAGGGAGGACCCCACTCCAGCCCCAAGGGAGACAGAGGAGGAAAGGTGGGAGGGAGGACCCCACTCCAGCCCCAAGGGAGACAGAGGAGGAAAGGTGGGAGGGAGGACCCCACTCCAGCCCCAAGGGAGACAGAGGAGGAAAGGTGGGAGGGAGGACCCCACTCCAGCCCCAAGGGAGACAGAGGAGGAAAGGTGGGAGGGAGGACCCCACTCCAGCCCCAAGGGAGACAGAGGAGGAAAGGTGGGAGGGAGGACCCCACTCCAGCCCCAAGGGAGACAGAGGAGGAAAGGTGGGAGGGAGGACCCCACTCCAGCCCCAAGGGAGACAGAGGAGGAAAGGTGGGAGGGAGGACCCCACTCCAGCCCCAAGGGAGACAGAGGAGGAAAGGTGGGAGGGAGGACCCCACTCCAGCCCCAAGGGAGACAGAGGAGGAAAGGTGGGAGGGAGGACCCCACTCCAGCCCCAAGGGAGACAGAGGAGGAAAGGTGGGAGGGAGGACCCCACTCCAGCCCCAAGGGAGACAGAGGAGGAAAGGTGGGAGGGAGGACCCCACTCCAGCCCCAAGGGAGACAGAGGAGGAAAGGTGGGAGGGAGGACCCCACTCCAGCCCCAAGGGAGACAGAGGAGGAAAGGTGGGAGGGAGGACCCCACTCCAGCCCCAAGGGAGACAGAGGAGGAAAGGTGGGAGGGAGGACCCCACTCCAGCCCCAAGGGAGACAGAGGAGGAAAGGTGGGAGGGAGGACCCCACTCCAGCCCCAAGGGAGACAGAGGAGGAAAGGTGGGAGGGAGGACCCCACTCCAGCCCCAAGGGAGACAGAGGAGGAAAGGTGGGAGGGAGGACCCCACTCCAGCCCCAAGGGAGACAGAGGAGGAAAGGTGGGAGGGAGGACCCCACTCCAGCCCCAAGGGAGACAGAGGAGGAAAGGTGGGAGGGAGGACCCCACTCCAGCCCCAAGGGAGACAGAGGAGGAAAGGTGGGAGGGAGGACCCCACTCCAGCCCCAAGGGAGACAGAGGAGGAAAGGTGGGAGGGAGGACCCCACTCCAGCCCCAAGGGAGACAGAGGAGGAAAGGTGGGAGGGAGGACCCCACTCCAGCCCCAAGGGAGACAGAGGAGGAAAGGGAGGAGGGAGGACCACACTCCAGCCCCAAGGGAGACAGAGGAGGAAAAGGAGACAGGAGACGGAGGAAGAGGACAGTGTGGATGAAGGCTAGGAATGAGGAGCAGGAGAAGGAGAAGGGAAGTGCGGGGGATACGGCTAAGCAGGAGAAGGTTGGGTGGGAGCAAGGAAAAGAAAGAGAAGGAGCCAGAGGAAATGGAGGGGGGTGAGGCAGGAAAGGAGATGGAGGAGATAGAAAGGGGAGGCAAGAGGAGAAAGGGATAGAGAAGATAAAGGAGGGGAAGGAAGAAGAGAAGATACAGGACATGGAGGAGAAAACAGAAGACGCTCTAGAGAAGGAGACAGAGGAAGAAGATGGGATAGGGGAAGACGGGAGGGGGGCAGAGGAGACAGGGGAGGGAAAGAAGGAAGAGAGCGGGATGGATGAGATTGAGGAGAGAAGGAAGGCGGACAAAGGGAAGTTGGTGATAGAGGAAGACAGCAGAGGACGTTGACGGTAAATGAAAAGGAATAGATGAGATAAAAGAGGAAGCAAGAAGAGAAGAGGAGAGAATAGCAGAGGAGGGGACGGGGACGAAGGGAAAGGAGGGGATAGAAGAGATGGAGGAGGTAAAGAGGGTAGACAGAAGGTAGAGGAGGGAGACAAAGGGGGATAGCTGAGATAAAGGAGATGGAGAAGAAAGGGATAGAGGCGATAAAGAAGGAGGAGCTGGAGAGGGGCTGGAAGGGTTAGAGGCGTGGTATAGTAGGTGGAGGGATAGAGGAGACGGTGGAGGGGAGGAGGAAGAAGAGGGCTACAACAGATGGAGGAGGCTGAGGGGATGGAGGTGGGGAAGTAAGGGAAGGAAGTGACAAGATGGAGGAGGGGAGGAGAAGGGGAGGGGTGGGGAGATGTAGTAGGAATAATTAGGATAAACAGAAGCATGAACAGTAAGAGATGTCAGAGAGAGGGAGGAGCAGCAGGAGCTATTGGATGAGATACTGTAAAGGGGACGGAAGGACGAGGGAGGAAAAAGACGAGGAAAGGGGAAAGAGAAGGTTGAGGATGTGGGGCAGACATAGGGATACACGTAGAGGGTTAAAAGACAA